ATAATAATAATTATTATTATTAGTGAAAGGGATATAAAATACTTTTATCTAAACAGATCAAAAACTGATGACAAAAAATAAAAATAAAAGCAGATCCAAGAATAACATCTGGGCTTTGAGAAACTTATGAGGCCCATTATTTCAAATTAACAAAAGGCCCAATCCAAAAGGAGCATGAATAAGTACACTATATCAAACCCTAGCCCCCAAACCTCAGCTTCTCAGTCGCCGTTTCCTCCGTTTAGGGATTCTTCTTCCTTTCTCCAAACTGCAACAATGGTTGCCGCCAAGAAGACCGTGAGCTTTCTTTGCTTCTCTGCAATTAACGTTCTTGATCTGTTCTTAGTTTTCAATTCCAAGTCGATTTTAATGGAACTATGTTTTGTATGTTTCATTTCGAAAAATGCAGAAGAAGACCCATGAGAGCATCAACAACAGGCTCGCTCTTGTCATGAAGAGTGGCAAGTACACCCTTGGTTACAAGACCGTTCTCAAATCGCTCAGGAGCTCCAAAGGTGTCACTTTTCTACACTTTTCTCATTGTTAGTTTTTACTGTTGGCAATATCTTCTTATTTTCATAGCATTACTTGCCACGTCAATGCTAATGGAAGTGGAAATTATTTCTTATGATCTTATTGCAAAACAGGCTGCTGTTGTAAATTTTTTGTTATTTAATTTAATTATTTTGACAGATCCGATGGTCTCTGAATTTAGTGTTTTTTTTTTACATAATGTGGATTTTGTCTTTTTGTTGATGTTTTGGTGGTACATATATAAACGATATCTGAATGTTGTTGAATTCGTTTCAGGAAAACTGATTATCATTGCCAACAACTGCCCTCCTTTGAGGAAGTCAGAGATAGAGTACTATGCTATGTTGGCAAAGGTCGGAGTTCATCACTACAATGGGAGTAAGTTCTCAATCTAATATCCCCTTTGCGTTGGCATGATTAAATGATAGGTAGAAAACTAAAAGTTTCGGATTTATATTAGTCTAGGTAATTTTTTCTTCAGAACTAATTTTATTTTAACGGGTTTAGAATCTTGTTGCATTTAACGGGTTTATTTTAGGGTATTGTGTTTATTATCAACTGACTATTGATTGTGATTTTTATTATGTATATTTGTACTATATTTCATCTATTATTTTCTTCCGAATTCAAGTCAGGATGTCTGTTTAAATTTCTGAGTTATAGAGGAATAAACATCGAGCTCTAGGTTTAGGCCATCTAACTATTAATTATTTTCAATAATATGCATTCGATATGCTTTTATAGTAGTTTATGTTTTCAGCTGTCTGTATATTGAAAATCAACAGTTATATGGGTCTCACTTCTTGATGTTACACTTACAACACTTTTCTGATGTATAAATTGCTATATAATCAAAAGGGTTTAATTTTATATGTTGATGCATTCGATATGTTTTTAGCTGTTAGATGGTATTTGGTAGGAAATGTTGTGTGACACTTTTCAAGATTCGTTGTATTTCTTTCGCATTAACAAAATATTTATGTTTTATAGACAACGTTGATTTGGGAACTGCATGCGGTAAATATTACAGAGTGTGCTGTCTCAGCATTATTGATCCAGGTATCGGATGCCTCCTTTTTTATTTCAATCTTTTATTAGAAACTGGTTTTGATGTTTTTGTTTTTCTAATACTGTTTGTTTTTGTTTTTTCAGGTGATTCTGATATCATCAAGACACTGCCTGGTGAACTATAAAGTAGAACTGGAGTTGCATGCTTTTATATTTTCTGTTGTTAGTTGATTCAGACATTGCTGAAAGAGTATCTGATTCAGTTGTAGACTTTTGATGTAAGGTGCATGGGTTTTGGGTATTCTAGCTGAGCATCAAGTAATTTTGAGTTTTAATCATGTTTCATTGTGCCAATTTTTATGGAGATAATATAATTTTATTTTCATCATGCTTGTTTCAAATGTCATGACCGGTTTATTATTTTTCGTTTTTGAATTTTCATGTCAACTCTCAAACAAGAACTTCAAATGAGTTTAGTTGTAGTGTTGTGTCTAGGCCAGTGGTGATATCCAGGATTTTAAGATAACAATTCAGAAATGCGATACCTTTTTATCGATTTCTTCCAAAATTCGAGTTTTGTTAAACTTGGTATTAGAGGACAACCAGTTGTAGGCAAGTAGTTGTAGACTACGTAGCAATTTGAAAAGAATAGTGGTGTAATTATTAGACGCCAGAATTTCAAACCCTGATCGTTTTGAAGAAATTCTCTGATGTTATTTTAACAAATATAAACAAGTAGAAAATTACTATTTGTAAGGAAACGAAATTCAATTTTTAGTTGTGATCGATAAAAGGATTTGGTATGTTTATAGAAAGTAGGGAATTATCTGTTGTAAAATACATATTTACCATTCAAGCTGAATATTGACTAAACATTATTGAATTTCTCAGGGAATGAGAAATAAGATAATGTAATGTAATTCTCAGATTTTTTTTTTCTGACATAGCATAGTGTTTTTCTGTTTATTTGATAATAGCTAATAGATAGTAGATAATGTTTATTTGGATAGGATGGTTTTGTAATTAACCTTATAGAACTGAACTATCTTGATCTAAATCTTTGAAACTCGTAGAAGAGGAAGGCACATTCATTCTCAATTCAGAATAAGCTTGGAATCTTTCTTTCCTCGAAGCTAAAGCCCTTCAAGCCATTTCTTTTTTCTCTTTTTTAAAGCCTGGAGCTAGTATGAGTTTATTATATCGTGATCAAGGAAGTTGATATTGTCAATTTCCTTGTTCACAAGAATCTTAAGCTTATCTTCTAACTTGTTCTATCCAAAAACCTTTCTATGAAAGATTGATTCTGTCGCTTTTGTGTCTATTCTACTATATGGATAACCAGCTTTCCAAAGGAAAATGATACTTGAACAATCATTTTTGATAACATTTAGACACGTTTTCTCGTGTCTAAATGTTGTCAAAAATGGTTGTTCAAGTTTCATTTTCCCTTTCCAAATACCTTATTTTCGAAACCGACTTTCTTTTTTCAATAATTTTTATCAAGAGTGGATAGAATTAGGTCTGAATTTCGATTTTTGTTTTTTGTGAAAATATATGTAAAATATCTGAACAGTTTTCAAGAATCGTTAAAAATTTGAATTATAAATGTTAAAGATTATGATCGAAAACTATTTAACATATTTTTAAAATTTTATTTTTTATAATGTTAAAGGCATTTCAAAAACCGTTTATTATTTTAGTATTTTAATATGTTAAAATATATTAAATTAGACTTTCTATTATTATTATTATTATCATTTTTCGTATTATTATTATTATTACAATTGTGATAATAATTACTAAAATAATTACATATTAAAATAAATTAATTATTTATTTAATTTTAAATTACAAAATAAATTTTAAAAAAATATGTTAAACAGATTTGAAAATCCATTAACATAGTCTTCAACAATTTTTAAAAAATTTTCAAGCATTCCCCTATTTTCCATAAAAATGACTAAAAATACAAAATTGGAATTTAGTTTTACGACAAATTCTAACAAATCTCTTCGAAAAATTATTGAAATAAAAAGTTAGAGTTCAGTTTTCCAAAAATTGAATTTTAATCTCTTATAAAACCTTGTTATCCAAAACCGTTTTCTCCTCGTAAATAAAAAAGGAACTATGCTATGTAAAAAAAAGAAAATCGTAATTCTTAGGACAGAGAATTGAACAAAATAAAGGGATTTCGTATTTGGTAATCATATTTTCTTTCAAATTTTGTTAAATATACATTTGATCTCACCATTTTCACTCCTTACATGGGAAAAAAATAAAAATAAGAATTTTGGTATACAGAAAGCATGAGAAAAGTCAATTGAGCTTGTTCATCTTCTTGACAAGGCGAGCCATCTGGTACTTCCAAAACACAAAATAAACGAAACCCAAACCAATCATAACGAAAATCCAAACACTCTCGTCTTCATTCTCTCTTTTCGATCGCAACTCGGCAATCCCAAAACTCTCTCTTCCCGAATCCCCCTTCTTCCCTTCATCCACGTGTCCGTACAACACATACACCCTGTCTTTATCTCCCACCACCACCGATGTCGGAAAACGCTGCACATTCACCTCCGCCTTGTCGTACACCACTCCCTCCGACCAACTATCCATGCTCTTCAACAACCACAGCTCCTTCATCGGCGCCACCACTGCCGCCATCCCGTCGCTCCTTAACGCGATGTCTTCAGCGCCGATCAGGTCCTCCTTTAACAACACCTTCCTCGCCGTCCCGTCTTCCGCGTCCACCTTGAAAACCTTCCCGGTGCTCGATTGCACCACTAAGAGGTAACCCTTGCTCACGTAAGCTATTCCGTTCAGCCCTATGTAATTGTGAGGTGAGTCGTCGTCGTCGTCCGCCGGACTGTTTGTCTCCGCCAAGTACTTCGGCGATCTGGAGAAAATTGAGGCGGAACCGTCGGCGGTGACCTTCCAGATGAAGTTTCCGCCGGAGTTGGTGACAAAGGCGTTGCCATTGTAATCGACAGCCACATCGTTGGCGGCGTCCATGCTTTCGGAGGGGAGGGGACTGAGGAAGAGGCGGCGGCGGGACCGGAGGTCGTAGGCTGCGAGGGCGTTGAACGGAGGAAGGGGAGGATACGAGTGTACGACTGCGAGGAGGCGGTTGCGCGGGGTATCGACGGCGAGGCCGAGAATGGAGGCATCTGCGGGAAGGTCGGTGTCGGAGATGTAGGTTTCGACAATTCCTGAGTCCGAGACGGCAGTTATGACTTGTTGTCGGAGGGATCCGAGGAGGAAGTGCTGCATGAGGGGATCCCATGCGAGGGATTCCGGGTAGAGATTCGATGACCGGAAATTGATGACGTGGGCATCTCGAGCAATGACTGGGACTGGACGTGGGCCCAATAAGAAGAAGATCATGATTGTGATGATTACGAGGAAGGGTTTTGTGGGTGATGAGATTGGCATTATGATTGGAGAGTGTACGTGAATATGGTTGTTAGGATGAAAATAAGCTTAGGCATGGAGAAAAACATGGAAACATAACCATATCAAAAACCCCAGTTTCTTACCAAGTTGAGAAAATTAGGGGTTGACTGAGACTTATGCTTGCAAACTCTAACTGGAAAATAGTTCACAAAAAGATAAAAACGGAAAACCATTATGATAACAAAATAAATTAATTAAATATTATCATGTTAATAAATCATATCACTCATTTCCTAATTAACATACCAGGATTTCCACTTCTAGGGGATTCTATTTTAGCGGTACGAATGAATGATGAAATATGTTTTAGGCATCTTGTTGCCCATTCCATCCACATCTCATAAAAAACAGTGACTCAACTTTGTATTAGGTACACAATTTTTTGTCGTTTGATTCTCTTCGCATAATTATGAGCATGCTATAATATTAAATATACTGCCTTATCTTGTGCGTGTTAGGTTATGATCTAAGCATATGTGAAGTAAAATTCAAAACCAAGGCTGCCATTTTGGTGTCTGATTATTTCTCACATCCCATGTAGCTTTTCCCTTGACGTGGATATCGAACTCAAGTTTTTTCCAACAAAACGGAAAAGCAAACAAGGTAGTTTCAGGAATGAAGTTTGCTTTCTGAATTATATTTGAAAACTGATTACGAATACTATTTTGGCACATACCTTTTCCTGCTCATCATATTTTAGTGTATCTGCTACATGGGCAAAATAAAACTATCAGTACTTACATACCCAACTATCAAGAACAATGACGCAAAGCAAAATCAACTTAAAACAAATTGAAACCATAGCCAGTATACTACTCGATATCCATTTTATCCTAGCCTTGCTGTTTTTTAAAATCACTGACTGCCTTATCAAACGTGCTTCTAACATGCCGGCACATAAGCATCAGATCTTGACATGCATCTTTTAATACCTCAGATGCTGGATCCCCTACAGATACAAGGAAATATTGAATTACCAATGCAGTGATATTGAATTATATATAAATTATAAAAGCTAAACAAATACGCCGATGGGCGAAAATAGTCATCATGAAAAACTTATTCGTGGATGACCTACTATTGTCCTATAATGTTTTTATTGGAATGAAAAATAATTAGTATAATTTGTATGACTGTTCAATTTAAATTTTTTATGGATGCAGCGCCTAAACCTTGTAATGTGTTCATATTTTAAATTTCAAAAGAAAAACTTTTTACGTTCAACAAAGAATATAATGCAACGAGGGAGATTTTAGTTATCACAATTTTTGTGGTGATAGAATAATTGGCTTAAAAAAGTTCGGCTCCCTTTCACAGCTTCATATCTATCAAAAGTAACAAAATGGCACCTCGGCAGAATATACAACGTTGTCTAACAAAATATGAAATTGGTAACTAAGTACACAGTACTCTGGTGATTTTGATGCAAAATAGAAAGTAATAGCAATAGATTGCAGAACAAATTTGCAAATCAGTCATTGTTACTTACCCGTTGTCTGGACTCTGATATTAACACGATTCTCTGAAGGATGAGGAATGCTGTACCCACAAAATGCCACTCTTGGGCTGCAAGACAACATTATACAATGAAATTGCCTCATCGGCATGTATTGCACTGTCGATGACGAGGAAGAAAAGAGAAAAGCTTGGGCATAAAAGAGATCTATGGAAAAGTCTAATAAAACAGACAATACTTTATAATGCGAGGTCTTAAAATGAAAATCCTTCAAACTATATTTAACAGAAATGTAAATGGATTAATCAAACAATAGGCAGACTGAAATTCAGGTCAGGTGCATGACTATTTTTCAGACTCTAATTTTGCAATCAATAAGCAACCGTGTATGGCATCACTATGTGATGTTCTAAAGAAAATTTAGGCACACATTTCAAAATTCAGTCTCTCGTTCCTTGTTCTATGTAGAATTCAGTGTTTTAGATGAATATCTTATCCTCTATTGCAAAGTTACACTTCATGACACTGACTAACAACTATTTTTACAATTATAATTTAAAGTAAAAATATTTTTATTTAGTCAGTTTTTATTCAAGATAAAAACATATTATTAATATCCCTTCCCTATGTTTTACGAATGCTATTTGACTAAATTTTAACTCTGTCGGCCAAAAGCTTTTCCATTTTGTTTTTTTATTCAATTCCTTACAATTCGCTGCGTTGTGGCATTATTACACACTTCAATCGAGACCATTTTAACCTCTTTTTATCTATTATATTTATTTTTCATGTTGGTCGGTTATTGTAAGTATTCCTGCTCCTTGTGTTTTAAATTTTGACGGGTGATACTCTTATTATTTGTGTTTACTGTTCTAATCTTCTATATATAATTTTTCCTTACGCAATTTAATTTCTTACCATAGACACTAATAGTGGGCCACATTACTTAGGCCCATTAGAAGCACTGTCAACCCTAAACCTAAATGGCTCAAAGACTATGTTTGACTGGTTTATGACGGCTGCACTATTATTCTTGTTAGAATATTGAGTATCATACTGAACTGATCTTTCAATAAAGACTATCTATATAATAACACATCTTGAATAAAAAGAAAAGAAAAATAAATTTCATTTTTATTTGGATAGTTCTTCCCTTTCACAGTTTCCTCAGTGTATCAGACACAGAAGAACCCTAGAGAGATGAAACAGAATAACACTTTGAAGCTCATTAACCAAATTAAGAAAGGAAGTGCGTTAGTTAGAAACTCGGAAGAAGAGTATGACTTACTCTTGATTTAAGGTAAATCTGACAGAGTTTGCCAAGGTATGATCCTCATCTATGATAGAAAATGTAGACTGACTCGGATCAGAGGATGAACCGTATTCCATTACTGACACTCACAAACAACGAATCTGAATTCAATACATATTCTATTATTCTAAGAACAACAACTGAACTGAATAATCACAAGAAAGAAACAACATCTCGTAGAAATCAACAAGAAAAAATCAGAAACAATTTCAGTACCTCTCTCCTTCACGCGCGTTGAGAACAAAGCTGAGAGGAATTCGAGTTCTGCCCGAAAACAGCACTGTATGGTGTATTTATAGGACCATACTAACGATGTCGTTTTGGGCCTCCAAACACATTGTTTTTAAAATATTATATTATATCTCAAATTTAGTAAATAATTATAAATTTTATTTCTCATTTAACAAGCTTTTCTGTTGATTTAGAGATAAGTCCCTTCAAATTGTATTAATTTTAAGAATATCACAGAAATATAGATTAGAAATAGAATATTTAAGAGAATATCAAATATGACTTGATTGTATAACAAATTTCCTTTGTAATGTCTTCAAATATAAGTTCTAGACTAAACAGTTTTTGAGTTCTTAAACTTACTTAAGAGAATGACTTTTTTTTCAAAGATATTTTTTTGAACTTATACGTCAAAATCAAATGAAAAATAATAATCATTCAAAAAGAAAAAAGTTTCTCATTGTAAGAAACATGGTTTAAAAGAAAATAAAATATTTCATTATTTTCTTTGATGTTTAAGGAATGTTTGAATGGACGTGGTAAAGTGTGACTGAATGAATCAAGTCCCTTTAACATAATAATAATAATAATAATAATAATATTAATAATAATAATAATAATAATAATAATAATAATAATAATAATAATAATAATAATAATAATAATAATAATAATAATAATAATAATAATAATAATAATAATAATAATAATAATAATAATAATAATAATAATAATAATAATAATAATAATAATAATAATAATAATAATAATAATAATAATAATAATAATAATAATAATAATAATAATAATAATAATAATAATAATAATAATAATAATAATAATAATATAATAATAATAATAATAATAATAATAATTACAAATCAAGTGCTGAGTCCTCTTCTTTTCTGTAAGTTTCAAAACATGATATTTTCATTTGATACAACTTATATATGTAAATTGTTAATTAATTTAAAGAAAAATAATAATATTTTTGTATTTTGTTGACTTTATATTTTAAATATATATTTACACAGAAGAAGGAAAGTATTTAAAGAATAATTTAGGTAAAAGTATCTCCTCTCTAACTATGTATATATTGAGTTACTGAGTAATTTTACAAATTAATATATTATTTACATAGAGAGAGAAAGGGAAAGAGGCATATAAGATAAAATGAAATTATAGTTCTAATCAAAGTTTTATATCAAATTTTATTTTATTTTTTTATTAACTTAATATAATGGTTTGTTTTAATTAATTTGCCACCGGTGCCCTGATTTTCAAAAAGAAAAGTGTTAAATTTTGAATAAAAATTAAGGAAAATACCTTTTAAACATATTTTAAGTAAAAGAAAAATTAATTTACCATATTAGTTTTACATGAAAAATATTTACAGCTATCCTGTACTTAAATTATTGTTTTTTAATTTTTTTAATTTTTTTAATTATTTGAATTTTAAAAAATATCATACAAACATTAAACTTAGAAGAAAACATGTTTTCTGAATTTTGTCAAAAAGAATATTTGTCACAGTCATTAAAATCTACTCAGGATTCGCTTTAGTGGATTATACGTGTCAAGAAAGGGGCTCAACACTCAGATGGTGAAGGGCAAGTATTAGCAGATGAGCGGACGTCCGTTTTTTACGTAGGAAGCAAAACTTTGATTTTTAGAAAATCACGTCACACTCTTTGCATGCAACCTCTCTTCCAAACTCTGAAACTTCATTTTCTCCTCCTTCTCTCTAAACGTTTTTCCTTCTCTCTACAAAACACTCACTTTCTCTTCTCCGATCACCACTCAGGCACCGTTGGAACACTCCCGGCATCAAGAGCTTCCAGTTGAACCAATCAGTTTTTGGTTCTGAAACTGGCAAGTCATTTTCTCTTCAGAACGTTCGTTCTTCGTACACATGCAAACCCAGATTCTTAGTTGCATGAATAGGTCACTTTGTTTTGAGTACTTCTGTTTTTCCTGTTTGGTTTAGTTTGTAAGAGGTGATCTTCGAACTCTAAAGATTTCAGTAGTGAGGAGATAAACTTTTGCATTGTTGAACGTTCACTCACATCAAAGGTAAGGGAAGTTTATATGATTTAATTTGTATGATGTTTGAATTGCATGTACGTTCGTTGAATTGATGAATTAATATGAAGTATGATTATTTGCTATGTTATGGGTGTTTGATCTTATGAAAATAGATGTTGAGAAATGAGTTGAGATAAATGATTTGAAGTATGAACTTTCTCTAAGATAATGTATGTTCGTTACTGAATGGTCCTTGACCGTTCTGTTTCTATAGGGGACTCGTTTAGAACTGGATTCTTTCATTTGGAAAGAATTTACGTTGAGGACGAGCATCTTCGCCTAGTACAATTTGTGTACAGACTTCCACCAGGGATATCCTTTTCTTGGTATTTTAAAATAAAATTAAGTATATTTGTGTAGTAGTACGTCCGTTCGTTCTTGAACATTAGTAAAAGGATATTCTATATTCACCAAGCGCTCGTATTATTTAATG